CGGCAGCGCCAGGCCCCGGTGCAGCGAGATGAGGCGCCCGGCGAAGTCGAAACGGGCGAAAAGCTCGAAGAATTGGGCCAGGAGGGAGCCTGGAGGGGGGACACGGAGGGGTGGCTCCGTGCGGTGCCGCGTTCCCGGTGCCGGTGCCGCGTTCCCGGTGCATCCCGGCGCATCCCGGCGCTCACCCGCGCTCTCCGTGTTGGAGCTGCTGCCCAGGCGGGAGGCGTCGCGGGGGAAGCTGCAGTCCCAGCCCTCCACCACACTGCGCTCGTCGGCCCCTGCGGAACAGCGAGGGGACACGGGGACGTGGGGACACAGGGACACGGGGATGTGGGGACACAGGGATGAGGGGACGAGGAGACAAAGGAACATGGGGACACGGGGATGTGGGAACACAGGGACACAGGGATGAGGGGACACGGGGACGTGGGGATGTGGGGACATGGGGACACAGGGACGTGGGACAGAGGGATGTGTGGACACGGGGACAGAGGGACATGGGGACACAGGGATGTGGAGACAAGGGGACACGGGGACAAAGGGACACAGGGACATGGGGATGTGGGGACGAGGGGACAAAGGGACATGGGCACACGGGGATGTGGGGATATGGGGACAAAGGGACATGGGGACGAGGGGACACGGGGACAGAGGGATATGGGGACACAGGGATGTGGGGACAAGGGGACAGAGAGATGTGGGGACACGGGGATGTGGGGACAAGGGGACGTGGGGACACAGGGATGTGGAGACGAGGGGACATAGGGACAAAGAGAGAAGGGGACACGGGGACAAAGGGATGTGGGGACAGAAGGACATGGGGACAAAGGGAGAAGGGGACATGGGGACACAGGGATAAAGGGATGTGGGGACGAAGGGACATGGAGACAAGGGAATATGGGGATGTAGGTACAAAGGAAGAAGAGAATACAGGGACGTGGGAACATGGGGGCATGGGGACAAAGGGACATGGGGATGTGAGGACACAGGGACGTGGAGAGAAGGGAACATGGGGATGTGGAGACATGGGGACATAGGGACAAAGGGACATGGGGATGTGGGGACACAGGGATGTGGGGATGAAGGGACAAGGGGATACAGGGATGTGGGGACAAAGGGAAAAGGGGACGTCGTGACACAGGGATGTGGGGACAGAGGGACATGGGGACACAGGGACGAGGGGAAGTAGGGACACAGGGGTGTGGAGACAAGGGGATACAGGGACGTGGGGACACAGGAATGTAAGGACAAGGGGATATGGGGACACGGGGATGTAGGGACGTGGGGACAAAGGGACATGGGAACATGGGGACACAGGGACATAGGGACAAAGGGACACGGGGACAAGGGAACATGGTGACATAGGGACATGGGGACCCACCTGCCAGCTCACGCAGCCGCGGCAGCGCGGGCAGCACCGGGGGGCTGCGCGTCTGCAGGAAGAAGAGCGCCAGCAGCGG